GGTTTGAAGTACTATAGGTGGTTGCCTGGGGCAGAGGGACCGTGAGAGAGTTTTCCTGTCTAGATTGTTTTAAGGATAATAAAGAAAAGATAGCTGCCTGATGGGTTTTTTGCTCTCACACTCCACACATAAAAATTGTACTATATTGCTAAGGTTAAGCATGGACAGAAGTGATTCTTATGAGGCTAATTAACATCATAATTGTATTATTTTTCTCGTTAGCGAGACTATAGTCTCGAAGGGGGGACTATGAAGTGTCTGAAGTAACTAGGACAGAGATAATATACTGCTCCTTTAAGTTTATAACGTATACATCTGGAGAGAATTTGTATCTGAAGGAGATTTAGGAGTCCCCTCAAGTTGAATGTTTACCTTAAGGTGTTGTGGAAGAGAATTGCCAAATATGGATGTTGTTAAATGTTGTTATTTGATTGCCCTTTACACACTGTATTTACGATAAATACTGCTATGACATCATCATGTTTACAGCACGCAGCGCGCCAGTCGTCGGATGACGTGATGTTGTTTCTTTTCAGTCTGCATGAGTCTCATGCATGTGTTCAATGAATAAACAAGCCTAAAGGCTAGAGAAGACACAGAGTCAAGTTTGCTTATTCTCCATACGCAAGAGAGAAGACTGCGCATCACAGCTTCACAGGTTATGGGCCCAGGTGGAGTTGGACAAGCATTTCGGAAGAAGTTTAACGCAAAGTATTACATGGAACTTCTACAAGCTATGTGGACCAGCCTGGAGATAAGTGAACGGTCATATTGTCGGAAGAAGTTTTACGGGATATATTAAAGCCAATAGAGCTAACAACCTAGCTTAGCAAAGAAAAAGTATAGCAAGCTAGTAAAGCGCGGTAAAAGTAGTGCGTTAGCAAAATGGCAAGCAGAACGACAGGAGCCCTCGTACCACAGCTTCTCTTCGACGGATCCGAAGATAAGTATGACCTATGGGAAACAAGATTCCTTGGCCAGCTACATATTCTGAAACTTAAAGAGACTATTTTACATGAGCCCATCGGCAATAGTCAAGAAGAGCTAGCCGCAGATGCAACGAAGAATGCCGATTGCTATGCTGAGCTGATAAGACTGATAGATGATAAAGCCTATCGTTGATAAGACATGATGCCGCTGATGATGGAAGGAAAGCCCTGAAAATACTGAGAGAATATTATTCCGGGAAAAGTAAACCACGGATAATAAATTTATACACGTCGTTGACCAAGCTACACATGGCAGACAACGAGAATGTTACCGACTACCTAATAAGAGCGGAGAACACCATTACGGCTCTAAGAGATGCAGGTGAGACCACGAGTGATGGACTAACCATAGCCATGATACTAGGCGGGTTACCAGACTCCTTCAAGCCGCTAGCCGTACACGTAATGCAAAACGAAAATAACGTTACATTTACAGACTTTCAAAGAAGACTACGTGTTTATGAAGAGGCGGAGAAAACGAACACGGCAGGATCTACAAATAATGTGTTGAAGACATATGTAAGACAAAGCATGGCCCAACAAGACGCACACTAACAACAGAAAAGATGAAGTTGCCAATGTGACTTGCTACAAGTGTGGAATTAAAGGGCACAAGTCAAGAAATGTTTTCGAAAAGTATGGTGCAGTTATTGCAAGAGTAATACACACCATGATTCCGTATGCAAGAAAAAGGGTCAACAAGACAACTTCAGAAAAGTTGCAGAGGAATAAAATAAAGACAGAGACTATCTCTTCAAGGCCAAACACATGAAGAAAGAGAAACCCCCTGACAATGTGAAAATGAAAGGCATCATGGTGGATGGAGGAGCAACATCCCACATCGTGAATGATATTGGAAAGTTTAAAAGCTTTGATGACTCATTCCAGCCGGAGACCCATTCAGTAGAGTTAGCCGACGGGACCAAGTGCAATGGAATAGCACAACGGAGAGGAATGGCGATGATATACCTATTAGACAACGCTGGACAACAGCACAGAGCACAGCTACGGGATGCACTGTACATGCCTTCATACCCACATGACATCTTTTCAGTGGCAAAAGCAACAAACGGAGGAGCAACAATCACCTTCAAGAAAGGGGACAGCTGCATGGTTACCAATGATGGTGGCAGGTTTGACATCCACGAGATGTCAATGGAAATTTGTATTACTTGCCAACTGTTGAGGAGAATGTTGACCAATGTAAAGGGTGTTATGATGTGAAAACGAATTTTGGGTCATTGTAACTACGAAGATGTACAAAAATTACAAGGTGTAGTGAAAGGCATGGAGATAAAAGGAAGTGCAGTCAGACCAGATCAGTTATGTGAAGTGTGCACACAGGGAAAATTCACCCAGACTAGGAATAGGGAGCTAGATGGAAAAGCTAAGAAACCATTACAACTAGTCCACACTGACTTAGCTGGTCCCATGCAAACACAGAGCATAGAAGGGCACAGATATGCACAATCTTTTACAGACGACTACTCAGGTACCATGTTTGTGTATTTTCTAAGGTCCAAAAGCGATACAGTGCAGGCCACAGAAAGGTTCTTAGCAGACACAGCACCTTATGGAGAAGTCAAGTGTATACAGAGTTTACAAGTCGAGACTTCCAGGCGCTGTTGACCAAAAACAGGATCAGACATGAAACGTCTGCGCCCTATCCACCACACCAAAATGGCACAGCAGAGAGAGGCTGGCACACTCTCTATGAAATGGGCAGATGTTTACTGTTAGGAAGCGAGTTACCAGATAAGCTATGGAACTATGCTATACAAACAGCAGCTTTCGTGAGAAACAGGTGCTACTGTAGGCGCACAAAGAAAACACCATACGAGCTGTTTACAGACACAGAACCAAACATATCAAAATTACAAAAATTTGGATCAGTGTGTTTTGCTTACAAACAAGAAAAAGGGGAACTAGACTCTAGGTGCAAGCAAGGTATTTTTGTAGGCTATGATAAAAAAAGCCCAGCTTACCTAGTGTATTATCCAGATACAGAGAGGATCCAAAAGCACAGGTTGGTGAAATTCACAACCAAGACAGCCAACGAAAAAGAAACCCAAATATCTGAGTCATACATGGGTGGTAATAAGATGGTACACAGGGTCAATGACAACGAAGAAAATGTTGTTGATGAAAATGCGGAAGGTGCATGCAGAAGCTTTAAGTGACATCAGAATTCCAGTTCGTGATCCTGCAGTATTCGGTGGGCATCTAATGAAATACAAAGACTGGTATCTCTCCTTTGAAACACTGATTGACCAGAAGAACATTAAAGACAAAGAATATATATATGTAAGTGAACAAGCTAAGAATGCACTTGATGGCTATTTCCTACTTGGGACTGAATCTTCCTATGCTGCTGCTTTTGGAAGAAAGATTTGGAAATCCATTTACAATTGCAAAATCGTATGGAGACAAACTTCAAGCCCAAGATAGGACCTAAAGACAGTTTTGAGCTTAGAGAGTTTGTGGATTTTCTCAGAATTTGCAAAGCTGTTATGATTGACATAAAGGCATTGGAAATCTTGAACGACTGTAACGAAAACAGAAAAAATATTTCAAAGTTACCAGATTGGCTAACAGTAAGTTCGAACAGAAAGGTTATTGAAGAAGAAGAGGAGAGAACCCAGTTCCCCTCATTCAGCCAATTTGTGAAGTTTCTGACAATTGAAGCAAAAGTTGCGTGCAACCCAGTCACATCATTGCAGTCACAGAGACAAGGTGAAGCTGAAAAGCCAAAATTACAAAAATAGACACTTTTTGGAGCGAAGACACTGGCCACAAGTTTTAATGAAAAGATATGTATAACATGCATATTCTGTAAGAAGAATGGTCATGATTTGCACAAATTCAGGAAGTTCATGGAGAAATCAGTGTCAGACAGAATCAGATTCATACAAGCTGAAAAGATCTGCTTTGGTTGCCTCAAGTCAGTTCACCAATCAAAGAGCTGCAACAGTAGTGTTTGCAACATGTGCCAAAAGTATCGAGCCTTATGCCAGCTAATAGACCTTGGGTGGAGTGTATTTGGCCATGTGAATCCACATGTTGACTACGGTGATGTTATTGGAATCAGTCACTGCATAGTGTTAAGACAGGTGACACCAAGTGTAAGAAAATTCTAATGTCTACTACTACCCTCTTGTCCAGCCCTTTTATGGAAAACCCCAGGCATGTCAACTACTAAACCTCCAACCCCCACAACTGCCAAGCCCGGTAACCCTACAACAACCACTAAGCCGGGCATGAACACTCCCACTTCTAAACCAAGTGGCCCTGATCCTACAACAAAGCCAACCATTAAGCAAACAACTGCATCTTCCCTTCAACTGCTCAAACGACAAAGCCCAGCAAATATCCAGGTCCATTGAGTCCATTTTTGCCTTACTTCCAGGCTCCTTTACGTTTCGTACAAATCTAGTAAGGCAGGTAAACACCCAGTTGACCAGAAATTAATGCCCCAAACTGGCTACAAATCTGGACTCCAGCCTCGGTCGCACCTACATCCAGGCTTCAACCACTGGCAGCCTGGGCCCTGGTTTCCTCATACCACAGGCCAAGACAATCCTCCATTTGAATAGCAAAATTCTCAGCCATAATAACTCCAAAGGTAAGCCTTGCTAGTGATTTTATGATGTAGTTTGAATCTTTCAACTGGGTTTCTTAACCTTTTTGTAAGGTTCTGTGTCCTACCATACTGCGCAACAATATAGAAAAATAACTTTAAGTTGTTCCCACTCATGCTTAATTTTTCTTTCAGTTTCTCTGCATTTGTGTGTCAAAGCTAATTGCAGGACCTATATGAATTCATGAAACTGGGTTATCGTATAACTTCCTGGTAAAGCAATACTGACTTCCTCTGAAAGAGCTACACTACACAGGTGGAACCGATTCGGCATAATTAAAAAGCAATCAATCTTGCCCGCCCTGCTTCTTCTGATTGGTTGTTGCAGAACCTGCTAACACTAATTGTTGCACTTCAAATAGCTGCAGCAAAGAGTTGATCTCCAGTTCTTACCATTTCCAGGAGTCACAACAGAATGATGCGAAAAGGAAAACGGAGAAGTGGCGCGGTTTACTTGGCTGCAGCTGTTATTTTTACATGTTATTTGGTGCAAACCATTGACTGTTACCGATTGAAGGAAACAGAAAGAAGTGAAGGACGAAACGACCCTCATGCAGCCAGAACAGCAGCTGTCCAGGAGGGAAGAATTATTTTCGGGAGAGGCCTTGAGAAAGTGTCTGGCCTCGAGTCTCGGGTCATAGATGGAACCAAGAAGACCTTCTCAAATGTTTCTACTGAAGATGAAGCTGCTTATCAAGCGGACTCTCCAGGTAAAAATATATATATATATTTTTTTTAAAGTCTTCTATGATATTAAATTGTTTGACTCTCTTTATGGTGACTCTTGAAAAAATCACATGGTTATTTAATTAGTTCAATCAGGCTGGCCTAAAGGACATGCATATGATTCCGGTGGCGGAGAATCATCATGGAAGCTTATGACATCCTCCCTGCAGTGTGGTGGGGACCAAATGAAGTTCAGAGCAGTGGGCCAAGGTGCTTCACAGTTTACAATGGACCAAGGTAACTTAAATACGGTTTTGGTACCGTTGTGCTCTCATTATAAAGTGTAGCCTATATCTTGACTGCACTCTGACTGAGAATTTGTCCAACTAGGAGAAGAACATCCGACGCCTCTGTCCCAAATCCCACCAACCTGTAACTACACAATGCAAAGGAACCCTCTTGCACTTGTAATGTTGGTCCCCTACGATGGCTGCAACATCGTTCAAAAGGTAGTTTCTTTATTTTATTTTTCCTGAAATGCAAAATGTTGTGTACGGTGGGAAAATGATAACTCTGAAAGCAGCTGTTTTCATATCACCTGCAACTATTTTCATAATTTGTCTTCTAAAAAGCATGACGAACCTGATTGGGGTCCGTATAGCCAGCTGGTAAACTGTGAATATGAATTGGTTAATGGTTATTCGTAGGTGTTAGTTTTTGACGCTTAACTGATTGTAATTCTGATACTCTAATTCCAGTCCTAGTGTAACCCAGTGGTTTGCTTAACACTTACAATTTTTTTTTTTCTCCACTGAAGGATGGGTATTATATGCTCCTCCTGCGCTGGCGAGGACTTCCAGTCCCTCTTGTGCCATTTTACCCTCTGCCAGTCACCGCAACTCCATCCCCGATGTTCCCTTGTCCCTTCTTCCCAACTTGCGACCCGCTAGTGACTAAACTAAACCGACCAAACCAAGCGACAAAACCAAGCCGACTAAAACTACCAAAACCAAGCCAACCAAACTAAACGACTAAACTAAACCGACAAAACTAAACCATAAACTAAACCGACCAAAACCAACCGACCAAAACTAAACCGACTATAACTAAACGACCAAAACCAAGCCGACTAAAACTAAACCGACCAAAACCAAGCCGACTATAACTAAACCGACCAAAACCAAGCCGACTATAACTAAACCGACCAAAACCAAGCCGACTAAAACCTAAACCACCAAAACCAAGCCGACTAAA